TGTAGATGAAGTGCTTAAATTGAAGAAACAGATCCAAGAGATGTTGCAAGTGATGATGGTGGTATGAAATAAAGATAATCAAATATATTGCAAAGTTTGTTGTTATCTTTATTTAGTCATTAGGACAAGGAAGAGATAAATATGCCCAAAATATACAGAATTAATAAGATAGATCTTCACTATCCAATATGGTAGTTACTAGCCTCATGTGGCTATTTACATTTAAATTTGAGTTAATTAAAATTAAATAAAACTCTAAAATGTGTTCCTTTGTCACACTAGCCACATTTTAAGGGTTTAATAGCCCTACATGGCTGCTATATTGAACAGCATAGCTATAGAACATTTCCATCATCACAGAAAGTTCCATTAGCCACCACCCCTAAGATAGAAAATATTAATAGGATGGCAATGTTTGTAGGGAAGATGACACCAGTGAATATGAGGGCACACAAAAGTTCTATCTTATTATCAAAGAAATAAAAAATCACAATTTTTTAAAATGTGGAAAGGTGAGCAAACAAAAATAATAAATTAATATGGTAGAATGGATCCCATTATACGAGTAATTACAGTAAATGTAAATGGGCTAAAGTCATAGTTAAAAGACAAAGATCGAAAGAAGGGTTTACATATTGTATACAAGAGACCCACTTAAAGCATAGGGGCGTTCAAAAGCAGTTTGATGGCATTGGTTCAGCTGTATGAAATTGCCATTTTTGTAGGACAAAAAAGGATGGATATTGCCAATTTTATATGGTTCAATGTTTTAAGAAATAAAAGACATAAATGGTTACCAACAAAAAGAAAGCTAATACAGCTGCATCGATACTAGATAAAAGAGACACTAAGACAATATGAAGAGTTAGGAATAGAGATTATCACTACATTAATTTGGAAAGATTCAGTTTATTGAAACGACAAAAAGAAATTTTGTCAAATGTATGGACCTAAGAAAACACTCACAAAATGTAGCAAAAAGAGTTAAAACTACAGAAAGAAGTTTGATAAATTCACCATCATATTGGATTGCTATGACAATTATTGATACATCAATCAGACAAAAAATTCAGCAAGAATAGTTGAACACCACAATTGACGAGTTTTCCCTAATGGATGGATACAGAGTTCTATATTCAAAAATTAAAGAATGCCCATTTTTGTCAAGGACACATTTATAGCAATGAATTACATTTAATAACTGATCAAGAAGCTCCAGTGTGCATCAAAGAACACCACTTAGGCTAGACAGCTCTATGTTTGCTTAGGCAGAGTCCTATAAACTCAAACACAAAGTCCTTGAGATCAAACCCAACCTCCACCTAAGAGGTGACTCTCCCAGAAACTTCCTTTAAAAGTTCTAAGAATGAAATCACTTCTCCACCAAGGTACCACCTGCTAAGACTCAAGGCTCAATAGAGTGCTATACTCCCGTGAGTTCAATGACTCTCACTTCTATTTACTCACACAAATAAACAGATTGTACTGAGCAGTACAGTGACCAGTTAAAGCCTGATGGAACAGGGTGTGAAATGGGACTTTTCCTATTATTTAAGAATTTTGGCTAAAGCCACAGAACTTAGGTTGATGAGTGCATTATCATTCTAGAGAGAGAGGCATTGAACACTTTGTCACCCAACTTAATAAAAACATCACAGATGCAGCCCTGCTAATTAGGATCAAGCTCCATCACGCATCTCCAGCGTAAGTAAGAGATGACCTAGAAATGCACAAAGTGTTGCAGAGAACTAGCAGAGAAACTGGCGGCCTAATTTGGAGCAACGTGTCTTTCTTCTCCTCAAACCCACCCTTTAAAAAGTCTGGGAGGCTCCCAGGGAATCACTCTAAGAGGCTGGGACTGCCTGCAAGGTTCCATGGGCTTCCCCCTGGCTGGAGTTTGGCCAGCAGAGCTGCAGAAACTCCCAAGCCCATCTTGCTGTGCCCCCTTTGTAGACCACAGTGAGACAGCTCTCAGGGGAACTTGTCCATCTCAAAAAGGACAGACATCTCGGGTCCTCTTGAAAATTGAAGGATGCTTTAGAATTTCCAGATTCCTCAGGATGAAGCACCCACATGACACGCAATCCTGTTTCTTGGTTGTTTGGACCACACCCTATTGCACTACTTGTCTGCACTGCTATGCACAAAGCTCTGCACTCTCTCACCCATCTGGTCAAGAGCCCCTCCTGGGAAGAGGACAGAGAAAGAAGGAGGACATTGAAACCATCACACATTGGAGGGCTGGGCTATGGCTTCCCACCCAGTATTCTGTTCTCTGTGTAAAGCAGCCCATTCCTTCAACTGGTCCCTCTGCAAAATACTTTCTAATCATTGACTATCCTGGCTTCTCTACTCTGTCTTATTCCCTTTTGCCAGCATCACTGTTCAAGTACATTGCCCTGAAATTGCAATAATTCCACTGCAAAGTGGGACAAATAAGGGAGAATAAACACCATTTCCTTTAAATGTTCTAAAACCCAGGATTTTTACTTACTCACTAATACAGCAAGTCTGAGATTCCTAAGGTCTCACATCATCACAGAATTAGAGACCAAGTAATTTTAGCTGAGCCAGATCTCTTCCCCTCATACATCTGATTTTTTTTCTTTGTTTGATAAGTTGGATAAGTTATGAATATGGGGAAAATGCTGACAAAAGATTAAAAGTACAAATAGCTTTGCATAATTTTCCCCCCATAATATATAACTAAATCACAATAGTAATTAAAGCCTTGGCTTTCTTTTGTTTTTAATCCTTACCAATTTAAATATTTTTCCAGAACAATTTCATTGTCTCCAAAAATAGTCCTTCACAGGACAAAAAAAAATTAGCTAATAAATTCTTGCATAGAAAATTGCTCTGTATCTTATAAATATTTCACAAACATTTGCCAGTTTATTTGTTTTTCTAAATGGTTTCTTATTATTTCTTTGTTTAAAAGGTCCTGAGCCATGAATATATCATGTCCGGGGACTGCAAGATAACAAACTATTTTTTTCTCTAATCACATTGTTCTTTACAATTTGATTTACCTCACTGTATAAATTCATTTTCTTGGCATGAGAACAGCTGTCTCGTGGCTGTTGGGGGCAAAGCTGGAACCCTCAGGCAAACAGCCAGGCTCTCCCGTCTGGCCCGGTGTCACCACCATCCTTTAGGGCCTCTGCCTGAGACAACCCCCCACTGATGCGCAAACAACATCCCAGCCTTGTTTGTATCTGCAGCAGGATTCACAAGAGGGCTGACTCCTAGGAACCTGAGATGACCATTTGCACTGGTGGATCCTCACACAGGGCATGGAGCAGCAGGGATGGGTCCTATGGAGGTGGGACAGGAAGCCTGGGTTCCGGCTCTTCCCAGCCTTGCCCGCCAGCTGGAGCAGCATGTCACCACAGTGGCTTTTGGTTTTCAATCCCCATCCCAGGTCCTTACTGTGACTCGAAGCTCCTGGCCCCTTCTTTCTTTCCCTGTAGGTTCTCTCTGTGTTGTGCAGTTCTCGCAGTTATTTCAGGAAAGTTGAAACCCCTAGCCTCTTAGTGAGCACACACACTCTCAGACCTTCAGCCCTTACGCTGTCACAATTTATAGTTAAGACCTACGTGGACCCGAAAGCTTAATTATCATCTGCGAAGCCCTCTTTGATGCTGTTCCCTCCCACTGGCAATGCTCTTGGAGGCACCCTAACACCTGGTTTTTCTAAAGTAACTCTAAGTTTAGCCACTATGGTGCCCTTCGCTGCAAGGAAGACACGGTCTCTATCACCAAAGAGTTACAATCAAGTTCATACAATAGCGTTTATTTAAAGTGTAACACACTCTGTTTGTGTGTATTAGTTCAATTACACTAGTAGGAAATGTAGCAGCTAGCATTCGTGAGTACTCGGTGTACTCCAAGTGCTTTGTACATATTAATCATATTAAATGCAGTGACTTGTTTTATCCTCACAAAATGCACTGACATTGCTTTCAAGATCTAGTTCATTTTGCAGATGGGAAAAGTTAACTTTCCCTAGGTCCAGCAAGTAAAAGCAGAGACGGGGATTTGGGGCTAGGGAGGCTGGGTCCAGAGCCCATACTCATAACAACACGTTACCCTCTCCAAACTGTACCACCCGCGAGTACAGTTAACAGCTCATTCGGAACAACTAATATTCTCACGTGTTTCAGGAGCGCAAAGGTAGGCGAACTCGCTTCCAACTGAGCAGGGGATTTTAAGATGCGGGATCAGTTACACCAAGACAAGTATGTCAGAAGCAGAGAAATAATTCCCATCTGAGGAGTCTGTGCAAGCACAGAGGAAGCTTCCCAGGTGCCCTTCACCTGGTGCATCCCATTAGCATCCACCCTGACCTTTTTCTCCTCTCTTAGGGGAATCAGAGCTTCCCTAATTTCCAAAACAGGAGCCACTTCACTGTACCTTGCTGTAGCGGCCACACACCATCAAATGGGACTTGTCCCACTCCAACTGTCTTCTTCTCTTCCATCCTAAAAGAAGCTTCTACCCTCTTTCTCTTCTCTTCACTGACAACCTTCCTGAAAATGACGAGTTACATGTTCTCCTGGATTACATAACTAATCAAACAAGGCTTTCATTTGCCTGTGACACAGGTAATGAGAGCAGCTCTTCTTGACATCTAACTGAAACAGAAAAACCCTTTATTTATTTTTTTAACTGTTATTTGAAGTTCAGGGGTGCAAGTGCAGGTTTGTTACATAGGTAAACTGGTGTCATGGGGGTTTGTTGTACAGATTATTTCCTTACCCAGGTATTAAGCCTAGTAGCCATTAGTTATTTGTCCTGATCCTCTCCCTCCTCCCACCCTCCACCCTCTGACAGGCCCCAGTGTGTGTTGTTCCCCCCATGTGTCCATGTGTTCTCATCATTTAGCACCTACTTACAAGTGAGAAGATGCGGTATTTGGTTTTCTGTTCCTGCGTTAGTTTGCTAAGGATAATGGCTTCCAGCTCCAACCATGTCCTTACAAAGGACATAATCTCATTCTTTTTATGGTTGCATAGAATTCCATGTACCACATTTTTTTAATCCAATCTATCAGTGGAAACCAAAATTAAGAGTGTCATATGCTGGTGCCTCAACGATCCACCTGAAGACAGAAAAAAAAAATTAAAGGAAAAGAAAACTGGATCAACATAGAAAGATTGGATCAACATAGAAAGCTTGGGCAGACTTGGATCTGACTCCCTCTCCCTCTCTTCCTTCCCTAGCCTAATACTTAATCCCTCACCAATCTTAGTAGGTTACACACACCAAGAACCCAAAACTCCCAGTTGAAGCCCTCCTTCACCTTCATGCTTTAAAAGGAAAAAACTCGGCCAGGTGCGGTGGCTCAAGCCTGTAATCCCAGCACTTTGGGAGGCCGAGGCGGGCGGATCACGAGGTCAGGAGATCGAGACCATCCTGGCTAACATGGTGAAACCCCGTCTCTACTAAAAAATACAAAAAAAAAAAAAAAAAAACTAGCCGGGCATGGTGGCGGCGCCTGAGTAGTCCCAGCTACTCAGGAGGCTGAGGCAGGAGAATGGCGTAAACCCGGTAGGCAGAGCTTGCAGTGAGCCGAGATCTGGCCACCGCACTCCAGCCTGGGCAACAGAGCGAGACTCCGTCTCAAAAAAAAAAAAAAAAAAAGGAAAAAACTCCTAAATGCCAGGAGTTGCAGTAATCAAAGGACACTGCCCTGATAGCATACTGTAGCCACACCATTACTTTACAATGGCATAGAGAATCTTTAAGAAATTATGTCCCAAATTTGAGCTATAAGTGTCCAAGAGTTTGAGAATTCCATCATAATTGCAACGAAGTTAGTTACACAGTTTCCATTATTTTAAGGACTACTCAGCTAAATGAGGAAATGTTCCAGCCTGGGGCCACTGAAGATGCCTCTGATGCAAAACGTCTAACGTTTGCAAGTAAAAGTGTTAAATCCCGAGTGATTCCATAGGGTAGCAGTCACCAGTCTTTTTGGAACCGGGGACCAGTTTTGTGGAAGATAATGTAACATGGACTGGGGGCAGGGGTGATGGTTTCGGGACGATTCAAGTGCATTACATTTATTGTGCATTTTATTTATATTATTATATTTAATATATAATAAAATAATTAGACAACTCACCATAATGTAGAATTCAGTGGGAGCCCTGAGCTTGTTTTCCTGCAGCTAGATGGTCCCATCTGGGGGTGATGGGAGGCAGTGACAGATCATCAGGCATTAGATTCTCATAAGGATCGCGCAGCCTAGATCCCTGGCATGCACAGTTCACAACAAGGTTCGAGCTCCTGTGAGAATCCAATGCTGCTGCTGATCTAACAGGAGGCAGAGCTTAGGTGGGAATGTGAGCAATGGGGAGTGGCTGTAAAGATGGATGAAGCTTTGCTTTCTCACTCACCTCTCGCCTCCTGCTGTGTGGCCCACGTTCTAACAGGCCACGGACCATACCAGACCAGTCCTTGGCCTTTGGGGACCCCTGCCATAGGGTACAGGGTGTACTGATGTCGAATCAAATCATCAAACTATGAAAAAGAAAGTCAAAACATGTGCCCCGAACTTCCACTTCTAAGTGGTAGGTCACAGCCAATGCTGCTGATCTCAGGAACTAAAACAAAACAAAAGAATAAAAAATCATTTTCAAAGCATTGGAGAGATGTGGAATCAACGAGGCCTAAATAAACTTTCAGAGAGAAAAGCCAGTAAGAGGGAGATGATGGTTGGTATCTATTTTTCCCTGGAAACATCTTCCTATACTGTTAAATAGGTAGAAGCCCAATGATCAGATTTGGGTCAGGTGGAAGATGCCGCTGGAAGAAGGAAAACCAGAAAAACTTTCAGTGGTGCCGTAGGGCTAGGGTGACAAATCATATCTCAGGCGAGGGCCCTGCAATGCATAGCTGATTTAACCCACAAGACATTTGCTGATTTTTTTTTTTTTTTTTTTTTAGCTGAGTAGTCAGGGGAGTGGAGGCCTTTAAAGAGCTAGGCCAAAAGTTCCTGAAAGGCAAAGTAAAATTTCTGTCAATATTTGTGACTAGTAAACAAAAAGCTTCCCAGGGAAGGGACCTGAAAAGAAATCCAGCACAAGCTGAAAGTGAATTCACACCAGGATCTGCAGTCACTCTTTAGGGGGCACCAGACAAATGTGGGTATCAAAGCTCAGCCACTGGCAAGAGGCTGCTGGTGCTGGAGACAGAAAATAAAGCAAAGACTTTAGTGTTTGTGAAGGACAAAATTTGCGTGTAGGGCATCCAACCCAACCATTCTCTCCATCAAGACCTTTGCCAAATTCTGAAGACGAGGTCAGGAGTGTGAGTGCTGAGCTTAAACTTCTCTAAGGCAAAGCTGAATCACCCACAATCATTCAGAACTCAGCATGCAAAGACTTTCCAAGCTCTCAGATGAAGCCCTGAGAACAGAGGTAGGCTGAGTCTGATCAAAACTACACCAATTCGTAATGGCTGGACCTTGGGAATCAACCTCCTCTGCCTCAGAGAAGAGACACAAAACACTTTCGTATGGACAATAATGTCATTGGAACCTCTACAGTCTTTTATACAAAATATTCAGCTTATAAGAAATTACTAGATCTGTGAAAAGATAAGACCATAGGCTCAATGTGCTTTAATGTTTTTAAAAGCAAACAACAGAATTAGTTCTCAAGTGACCCAAATTCTAGATACTACAGACAATTATTTTAAAGTAATTATGATTAACATATTCAAGAAAATAGAGGAAATGACAGGCAATAAAAATAATGGCAATTTGCAAATAAGAATTAGAATTATTTTTTAAATAAACTATAGAACTAAAATCATAATACCCAAATTAAGAATGCAATGTATAGTTTTAACAGTAGATTGGACATAAAACTGGTGAACTGGAAAGCAATGCAACAGAAAAACACCCAAACTGAATGAAAGAAACTAAAAAGAAAAAAATGATTTTAAGAAATTAAGAGAAATATGGGATATATTCAAAATGTCTAAACAATATATAATTGCATTACCAGGGAGGAGAGAGAATGAGAAGCAATATTCAAAGAGATCATGACTAAAAACATTCCAAACTGATGAAAGACATCAACCCACACATTCAAGAAGTTCAGCAAACTTCAAGCAAGATAAATATAAAGAAAATCACACCTAGATATATCATTGATGTCAGCTTTCTAAAAATCAAGGACAAGAAGAAAATATTAAAATCAGCCAAAGAAATAACATATTCCCTTCAAATGAGAAAAAAAAGAAAAAAAAATTAATAGCTGACTTCTCAAAAGAAATCTTAGAAGCAGAAAACAAGCCGGGCATGGTGGCTCATGCCTGTAATCCCAGCACTTTGAGAGGGCAAGACGGGCAGATCACTTGAGGTCAGGAGTTCAAGACCAGCCTGGCCAACATGATGAAACCCAGTCTTTACTAAAAATACAAAAATTAGCCAGCCATGGTGGCAGACACCTATAATCCCAGCTACTCAGGAGGCTGAGGCAGGAGAATTGCTTGAACCTTGGAGGCGGAGGCTGCAGTGAACCGAGATTGCATCACTGCATTCCAGCCTAGGCGACAGAGCAAGACTCCATCAAAAAAAGGAAAAGGAGGGGGAGGGGCAGGGGGAGGGGGAGGGGAAATCATGGAAAAAGAAAACAATGGGAAATTTGTAACTTTATATGCTTTATTAAAGAAAAAGGAAGAAAATTACAAATAAAGAACAGAGCAGAATTTCAGTAAATTTGTTTTAAATCTTTAAAAATCAACAAGATCAAAAGTTATGTTTTGAAATGATAAATCTCTAGTAAAATAGAACAAGAATAAAATGCAAACTACCTAATAAGAAAGAAAAAATGAACTATAACTACAGATCCTACAAACATTAAGAAGATAGAAGAATATTATGAACAAATTTACTCCATAAAATGTGGCAATCTGGATTACATCAACAAATTCCTCAAATACAATTTACCAATTCTAACAGAAGAATAAATAGAAAATGTGAATAGTCTGGTATACATTAAAGAAATTAAATTATTATATAATTTACAATAATTAATTATTCAGTTTATTCAGTAATTATTAAATTTATTATTAATATTTCCACAAAAAACGCCCAGGCACAGGTGGATTTTTCATTTATATTACACCATTAAAGGACTATAAGGAGAGTAAATACTTCCCAACTTTTATGGATGAATCTCTCTCAGAACGTATACTCAAAAATTATTTTAAAATATTAACATAGTAAGTTCAGTGATATATACAAAAGATACCATATCATGAAGACATAGGGTTTATTTCAGGACTGGAAGAACAGTTTTGCTTTTAAAGGCAATCAGTCTAATTCATCACATCATCAGAAAAAATACTGGGGAAAAATCATGCTTTTATGTTAATGCAAAACATTAGACAGAATTCAACACTCATTCATGATTTTTTATAAAAACTCAAACTAGCAATATGGACAATATATATGGAGATTCTTTGGGGGAAATGGCAAAGATCTATCTCTTGATATCAGTTATCACTGTGAGGGCTTCCATCTTGAAATAATTCGCTAAGCTATACATTTATTATGAGTGGGATTTTTCTGTGTCTATGATTTATTTTACAATAAAAATGTAAATAAAAAAGGAAGAAGTTGAAGAAGTTAGCAAGATAATCTGAATATCATGAATCCCATTAAGAACTTTTTTTTTTTCAAACTGTGATGAGTGTCTGCACCTGTGTTCACAACTGGAAATTCATTATGTCCCACATCATCTTTAAATTTAAGTGAAGCAACACTATGCAGTCTACTCTATTAAAATGACTTATTATCTTTAGATGCTTCATTTACAGGTTGAGTAAGGGAAAATGTGTTATATCCTTCAATTGCATGGCTAGAATGCTGAACAAATAGGATTCCAATATCATAAATTTATTTTTGACCTATCACAATGCAATGATATATTACCTTTAATGTTCTCACAGGCCTTGCAAATTTTTGATAGGGGAGTTTGCAATCATTTGAAGAGACACAAAGGACTGAGGGAGGGAAAGGGTGTGGAGTGTATTTGGGTGTGTATGTATAACGTGATTGTGTTTGTTTCTGGGTGATCTGTGTTATTATGTATGTGAGTGTGTATAATATGCATTTGGTGTGTGTGAGGGATATCTGTGCATATTTGTGTATATCTGTGTGTTGTGTATGTACTATACACTGTGTGTATTATGTATGTGTGGTGTGTGTGTACTATACACTGTGTGTATTATGTATGTGTGGTGTGTGTGTATTATGTATGTGTGGTGTGTGTGTATTGTGTGGCACATGTGGCATTGTGTTTCATCGTATTGTACTGTGTGTATTATGTGGTGTGTTTGTAGCATGTGTATTCTTTGGTGTATATGTGGTAAGTGTCTGTGTTTCACTGTATGTGTGTTATATGAGTATGTGTCTGTGTTGCACTGTGTGTGTTATCTGTGTATGTGTCTGTGTTGCACTGTGTGTGTTATATGAGTATGTGTCTGTGTTGCACTGTGTGTGTTATCTGTGTATGTGTCTGTGTTGCACTGTGTGTGTGTTACATGTGTATGTGTCTGTGTTGCGCTGTATGTGTGTTATATGCGCACTGTGCAGTAAGTGAAAGATGTTTGTGCTTGCATTGTGTGTGTGATATGGTTAGAAGATTACACATTCATTAACAGAGTTATTTTGAAAAACTTGTAATCCATCCAGGAAAGGGCTACCCAGAAGGTTGAGTCTAGAAATCCTACCATGAAGGAATAGAAAGAGCAGGGAAAGATAAACTTGAATAGGAGACAATTTAGAAAATGAAAGCAAGATTTCTTTTTAACTGGCTGAAAATGTCCAAAAAGGAACTCATGAAAAGGGACAAGGCTTCTCCGTGTGGATACAGAAGGCAGAATGGAAGCTTGTTATTTGAAATGCAATTAGACATCTAAAAAAAAAGCAATTTACTCCTTGCTGAGTGGAGAATTTTCGGTCACAGTGGGTAGTATGCAAGTAGAGGTGAAATGCTGAGCTACTGGGGTTGGGCCGGATAACCTCAAGATGCTCTCAACTGCGAAAGGGTTAGAAAGAAGAATAAAGAGAGCACTAGACCATGCCCAGCCCTGCCCATCCCCATGCCCTTGCTGGCAGGTGCTCAACAGAACCATGCTCTTGGGAAGGCACAGTGAGATTATTGGTGGCTGCTCCTTGGATGGTTCCCAATGAACTTAATGCTGAGGGAATCCACTCTAATACCCTCTCCTTGAACTGGAGAGCTATTACTCAGATCAAGATACAGGCAATCTCATAATTAAAACCTAAGTGAAGAGGAAGGATCATAGATCAAGACCATCAGAAGCCAACACCATGGCATACAGCATTGTCCCAATGGGTGGTGATGGAAGTAATAAGAAGTATGGGGAGCAGAAGAAAATTTAGCTCTGCTCTTGCTTCTAACAAGGTTTCCACATATTTCCTGTGTTAAACAAGTAACTGATCTTAGATTATGGAGTCAAGGCCTATCTACTTTTCCCAACACAGCCAGAAGCCCGGAGAAACCTAGAAAATAATATAGTCATTAGCTTTAACTACGGGCTTTCAAAAATTATCTGTAAACACGCATGCTATTTTTTCAAAAGGCAAGATTTGGCCTGAGCAACAATACAGTTGAGAGTCTCTGGCATCTCCTTTGTGTATTATGGAATACACATCCATAATCCATGCAATTTTTAGTAGTGGAATCTATCTTCTGCTTCATCCCATTTTACACATCACTTCTGGCTCCATCCCATTCATCTTCCAGGACCCGAGGACTGGGGATGAGACTTGGCAATGCCACAGTTGCTCCTGCCTGGTACAAATTAATTTTTAGGTAATTCAATAGTGGCCAAGCATATCTTTACAACCATCCAGCTCAATTCAATGTGAATGCAATGACCATGCATTCTTCAAATTGCATCAAAAACAAGCAGATATCTTGTAGGTCTATTTCCTGTACAATATTCCTAAATGTTCAAATCTGCATTTTAAAGTTCTGATGAAACAAATTCAAGTTAATATTACTTGCTAAAAATTAGAAATGATCACAAGAATTTCCTAGCAGCTTTAAAATACCCCCAAACTGGAAACAATCCAAATGTGTATCAATGAAGAGAAAGGATAAATCTCCTGTGCAATGGAGTATGACACAGTATCTAGGTCAGTTTAGGCTGCTATAACAGAATATCATAGACCAGGCAGATTATATAACAAATATTTATTTCTCACTGTCAGTTCTGGAGGCTGGGAAGTCCAAGATCAAGGTGCCAGCAGATTCACGTCTGAGGAGGGTTTCTCACCTGGTTTGGAGGTGGCCATCTTCTTGTATCCTCACATGGCAGAGAGAGAGAGAGAGCTCTGATCTCTTCATCCCCTTGTGTGAGTGCACTAATCCCATTCATAAAGGCTCCATTCTCATGACCTCCTGATACTATCACGTGAGGATTTAGGCTTCAAGACATGAATTTGAGAGGAACACAAATATTCAGTCCATAGCACACAGCAATGAAAAAGAATGAACTCCTGATGGCTGCAACAACATGAATTAGTTTCAGTGGCATAGCTAAGTGAAGGAAGCCACACACATCAAGAGCAGATGCTGTGTGATGCCATGTATGTAAAGTTCAAAACCAAGCAAAGCCAATCTATAGTGAGAAGGTGTATTGGTCCACTCTCAGGCTGCTATAAGGACATCCCCAAGACTGGGTAATTTATAAAGGAAAGAGGTTTAATTGACTCACAGGTCTACAGGGCTGAGGAGGCATCAGGAAATTTACAATCATGGTGGAAGGAGAAGCAAATACAACCTTCTTCACATGGCGACAGCAAGGAGAAGTGCCAAGCAAAAGAAGGAAAAGCTTCTTACAAAACCATCAGATGAGCCGGGTGCAGTGGCTCACACCTGTAATCCCAGCACTTTGGGAAGCCAAAGTGGGCGGATCACTTGAGGTCAAGAGTTCAAGACAAGCCTGGCCAACATGGTGAAGCCCCACCTCTACTAAAAGTACAAAAATTAGCCAGGCATCATGACACACACCTGTAGTCCCAGCTACTCGGGAGGCTAAGGCACGACAATCACTTGAACCTGGGAGGCAGAGGTTGCAGTGAGCTGAGATCATGCCACTGCACTCCAGCCTGGGTGACAGAGAGAGACTCCATCTCAAAAAAAAAAAAAAAGAAAATCATCAGATCTCATGAGAACTTACTCATTATCACAAGAATAGCATGGGGGAACCACCCCCATAATTCAATTACCTCCCACCAGGTCCCTCCCATGACATGTGAGGATTATAGGAAGTATAAGATGGGATTTGGGTGGGGACACAACCAAACCATATCAGAGGGGTCAGGGTAAACATGATTCTGGGGGGCAGGGGATAGTGACGGAAAAGAAGTCCAAAGAGGTGTTCTGAGGTCTGGCAATATTGTGTGTCTTGCTCTAGCTGGCGGTTAGTTACATGGATGCATTTAGTATGTGAAAATTCATGGGGCTGTACATTTGATAAATAGACCCATGGAAACAATCGGTAAATGAGCTCAATAGGAATTTACAAATCTCCTGTAGGAGGATGCTAATGTAACACAGCCTAAATTATAATGCCATTTTGGGGAAGTTTTGTGGTCTCAAATACCGTTAGGAAACCCACAGGCAATGGGAAGACACTTGGCTCAAGGCATTGGAATATCAGAATCATGATCCTTTTTGGGACTAGAAGATCTTGGAAATCATATACACCAAGCCCCTCAGTTTACAGATTTGGAAATGAGGTTCCCAAGCTTCCGTTGTTGCAAATATTGTCTGGAAGACAATGCCTTCAATCAATGGAGCTCAGCTACACGACAAAACCACCCGGAGAGCTTTAAAACATATTGATATCCAGGCTCAGCCCCAGCCTAATTAATTTATAATCTCTGGAAATGAGGGTCCACATCAATACTTCTACCAGCTCCCCAGGTGAGTCTAATGACTGCATCGAATCATTACAGCACCCATATCTTGCTTAAATTTGTTTCGGATTACTCTGCCAGACCCTTTGCAAAGCCTAAAGCAATGGGCCCAGGAGTGGTGAGTTTTGTTCAGCACAGAGGGGATGTGGGAGGAGGAGAAGCCCAAAGAGAGGCTCAGTGAGGGTGAGGGGCCCCACCACCCGCTCCCCCCACCTTGCCTGTAGTTGCCAACACCACCTGCCTCGGAGCCAGGGAGAAATGCTCTTCCGTTCTCTCTACAAGATTTCCTGTCACTTCCTCCCAGCTCACATTCAGTGGTGCCAGTTGCATAACCCAAGGAGCTGTTTTCTTAAAGTTCAAAGTCAAAATGGATCTGGCACAGCAAGAAATTCAGGATAAATTTAGTCAAGATCTCTGTTCTGGCAGCAGAGACATGGCTTTGACTCGGCTGCGCCATGAGTCCTGATGCACAGGCTGGAGGTGCACACCCAGATCTTCAACTGCAGCCACAAATAATGTCAGGTAGCGTCTGGGCCTTTCCTGCCACTCCCAGGAAGTCATTATGCCCCATCTTCAGTTTCCTCTACCTGTAGGAAGAGCTCGACAACAATGCATTTGCCACTCTCACAGGTGTGGACCTCCCAGTGGGATGTGTCCAAGCAGGATCCGGGAGGCAACTGTCAAGTTAGGAAATGAGATTCCTTGGAGGTGGGCAGGCGAACACAAAGTAAGTGCCCACCAGTTACAGAACACTCAGCACTTTATATGCATGCCTTGTTTAAGTCCTTGCACATCACATGTGCAAGCCATTTGCTAATATTTTACCATCTAGAGACTAAAGGCTCAGCCCCACTGAGAAATCTCACAGAAGGTTAGAGAGAGCATCTGGGTTTGGACACAGGTCTTCCGGATTCCAGAGACCATGTGTGTTATTAACGACTCTGCTGCTTTCTAGATTGTCTTTCATTAAAATCGTAAGAGATGGAAAACTAAATAAAATATAGGTCTATTTTGCTCATTCACCCTTTCCTTTTTTCAGCCATATTTCAGTGAGGACCCACCATGTGTGAAGCACTAAATTGTTGGGGTTCATGAGAGCTCATCACACTCACTTTTACCCAGCCAGTTTGGAACTGAGAAAAAGGTGCTGGAGTCATGCGGATAAAGATGGAAGATCCCAGCCATGGTACTGGAAAAGCAGAGTGGGAGAAGACAGCTCAGGTAAGGGAGCAAAGGTGCAGCTCACCCCCTTTTCAGAAACAACTGACCCCCAGATCTGCAAGCCCATCCACTGGGGAAGCACCTGCCCTGTGAAAGTTCTCAGAATCCAAACAGAGTCGCTAATGTTAAGAAAACCCTCACAACTAGAGCCAGGGAAGACACGAAGAGCAGGTTCTAAAACCATATGCCTGACAACCAACAACAACAACAACAACAACAAGAACAAACTCCAGAAAAACTACAACTTTGTTCAAAGACCATTGCAACCTTATGCAAAAAATAATAATAATAATAATAATTCTGCAAGGACATCTGTCCAGCAGCTGCCTGTCCAACCTCAGACTGGTATCACCCTTGCTGTTGATCTTTGTAGCCAAGGGTAATTATCTCAAAAGTAATAATTAAGTAATCCTCCTCATTTTTTTTCCAAAAAACCTTTGCCTTCCTTTATCTCCCTGAATACAGGCATAGTTTACTGCAATGTGCATATTCCCATTGCAATGCTCTCTTCTCAGATCATCATCTTTGCTTTCAGAGAGCCTCTCTCTGTTTCATGTAGGTGGACAACCCTTGCCTCATAGAAGAACAAGCAGATGGAGCAGGGTGCACCTGACCCATGCACCTTTCCTGCAGTTTCATGTCCCTGAGGTATCTAGAATAGGCGAAGCCAGAGATTGAAAGTAAATTAGAGGTTTCCAGGGACTGGGGAGAGGCAGCTGAAGGGGATTATTTAACGAGTTCAGAATTTCCGTTTGGGATGATTAAAAAGTTTTGGAAATACTAATGATGGGTACACAATATTGCGAAGGTACTTATTGTTAATAAATTTGTACACCTAAAAATAATTAAAATGGCAAATTTTATTTTACATGCATCTTCCCACACAAAAAAATAAATTCCAAATAGACTTCTGTTGATACTCCTTCTCCCCTCCAGCAACCATCCTGTCTCCTTTGAAAAGTGTTATTAGCTCTCAACGCCAGAAATTCATTCCTCCCCTCCTCTTTTCTTTTGAACCTACTTCAAGCAGCCTTTCTTCCTGCTGCTGCACCCACCTGGAGGAGGTGATGGGACAGTGTGGCCAGGGCTGCAGAGAGAAGTGGGGCAGTGATGCATGAATACCTCGCTGCTGCCAGAGTGGCAGGAAACATGGGCAGAATCTAGACAGGGGTGCAGGGGCCAGGAAGGGTTGTTGGTTTTGCAATAAAAGACACGACCGCACGCGTGTGTGCTCCTGGGAAGGATCCAGAGGAGGGGATGAATGAGGCCCTGGGGCGCGAGAAGCAGCTGCAGGTGAGACCAGCACTTCCCCTAAGGGAGGGGAGGGATGAGGCACCACATCCTGCGGCTGGTGCGTTTGGCCCTGGAGCTGCGAGGATTCTATTCTGATTGCTCCTCCTCTCTTTGCAGCAGAGTTATCAGAGCAGAGAGATAGGGTTGTGGCTGCAGAGGTCCAGGGAGAAGGCTGGAAATAGCCATTACTGAGAATAAGTGAGAGGACTGACAATGGAGCAGCAACAAGGAAGGCCCGCCTGAAGATGGTACTCGCAGGTGAAGAATGCCAGTGTTGAAACGCAATCACAGAAATACACAAATAACAAAGTCGAAAATGAAAAATGCCTACTTTGGAGACTTCATTAGTTCCCTAGGGCTGCGTAACAAATTGCCAGTAACTGGGTGGCTTGAAGAACAGATACTTTTTCTATCACCATTCTGGAGACTGGAGTTGGAACTCAAGGTGGCAGCAGGGCTGGTTCCTTTCATGCGTTCTGGGGGACGCTGTGTCCCAGACCTCTCTCCAGCCTCTGGTGGCTGCCAGCAGGGCTTGGCGTCCCTTGACTGGAGACGCATCAATCTCTGCCTCCCTCTTCACATAGGGTTCTCCTCTCTGGGTCTCTGAGTCACTCTCCCCTCACTTGCCTTTTCAAAAGGATGCCAATCACTGGATTAGGGCCCACCCTCATCTTAACTTGATGGCATCTGCAAAGACCCTATTTCTAAAGTCACATTCATAGGCTCCAGGGCTAAGACATCAAAGTATCATTTAGAAGGACACAATTCCATGCATGAGAGGGGTACAGATGATATATCATGAGAGTGCACAGGAGAAAAACATGATTATTCCCAACGAGGGCATCAGAGAAATCTCAGAAGAGTTCTGAAGAGAAGGTGGGATTGGTGGCTGGGCGCGGTGGCTCATGCCTGTAATCCCAACACTTTGGGAGGCTGAGGCAGGCAGATCGCCTGAGGTTGGGAGTTCGAGAAGGTGAGATTGGGACATCTGAGGCTGTCTACAATCTTAGCACATTTTTGACACACAGGTGAGCATCATTCTTTAATGCCCATTAGTGGGCACACAAATAAATAGGAATCTGGGCAGGACAAACTTCCCTGCCTGCCTCAAATCCTCGTTCGTCTCTTACTCTGTGACTGGCAAGTTGCTGAATTTCCCGGTGCCTCAGTGCTTCTATTCATGAAATAGGTATTCATGAATAGGTCCTCATGAAAAGAACATTCTCTCGGGGGGAACTTCATAATGAATCTGCTATCAGTTGTGTGTCTTGGTAACTTAGATACAAGGAGTATGTCAAACACACCAAGCAAAGGGGGTGTCTCCACTTCTTTCTGTCACAGTGGAGAGCTGGCATTCACAACAGTGAAAGGGTGTGTTGAATTTCCAGGTCATTGTGCAGCTCCTAACCATGAAGACGCCTACATTTCTCACGTTATAAACAATCTTCCCTACCAGGACAGTGAGTTGGTAAGAAACCAGGTGCCAAGCTGTCCACCAATCAAAGTGGGCATCTTCATGAGTGTGATGCACTTCTTCGTATCTAAGCCAGGAAGCCCTAAAAGTGAGGATGGAAGGCACACATGGAAGCAAACCCTCAGGGAAGGTTACCAGCTATCAAGGAAATCCTCTTCCTTATGCCTCATTGTAATGACTCATTGCTGAAGATGACATCTGTGCATTACACAAAATGCGCAATTACATTACTGAGGCACACACTGTTCACTGCCTGCCCCAAAAACATTCTTAGGCTGTCTGTGCTACTATAACCAAATACATGATAGCTATAATTTATAAACAGAAATAGAAATGTATTGCTCACAGTTCTGGAGGCTGGGAAGTCCAAGGTCAAGGCACTAGCAGGCTGTGTCTGGTGATGAGAGGAGGGGTGAGCTGGGCTTCCTGGGTCGAGCAGGGGCTCAGAAAGCTGTGAAACTCACTCATTTCCTGCATCAGGACTTCGTTCAGTCCTGGATGAATAATATTGAAGATATATGCTTAAAATATTCCTAACACCCGCATTTGTGCATGTGTTTTCTTCCCCAAGAAAGCTATAAACAGAGAAAATTTTGCTGTAAGTTTCCCTGTGTCCTTTCTCCCTCTCTCCCTTCCTCTTCCCCCTGGAAACTAAAGTAAAAGGAATGTTAATTGCCCTTTTTTCTGTGACCAGTGGACCTTATCTATACTCCTAATTCCAGTTCCTTGTAAACATACTTTGTAAAGTCCTGTGAGATCCCGTCTCCTTTGCCATGCCGCTGCAAGGTCATAAAATAGATAAAACCTAAGTTGCAATTCCGGTTTTCCTCAAGATCTGAAACATGTCATAAATTTGTCTTTGTTTCTCACTCTGGAAACATCTTCTTTAAGGCATATTTCCTGCCTTAAAGAGTTTAAAAGGCATTCATATGATCTAACTCTGGCTACCCGTTCAGGACCCCTTCCACATCATGGAAGCTTTGTACTTTCACTCTGCTCAATAAAGCCTACAGCTTTTTCTCTCTATCGGTCTGTGTCTCTATCACTCGCCGCGGTCAGCCGCCACTCTAATTCTTTGGTGTGGCTAGGAAAGAACCTTAGATGTTACAGTGAGGGCTGCACCATCCGTCGCATCTCCCCATGGCAGCATCCTCACGTGGTGGAAGAGAGAAAATCCACTTTCTCAATCCTTGTATAAGTGCCCTCATCCCATCCATCAGGGATCTGCCTCATGACTTCATCACCTCCTAAAGGCCCCACCTCTTAATACTATTACATTGGCAATTAAATTGTAACATATGAATTTCAGAGGGGACACATTCAAACCATAGCTCATTTCCACCTCCTCCTTTAGCAACTGAACCCCAATGTGGTTCATCCACCAGACAGGGGTCTCTTAATGGCAGAGAAGGTGGGATCATCCCCAGACGAAGCAGAAACAGGTAAGCAATTCTAGCCAAGGAGACATAAGGGAATCTTCTAGGGGGAAGGTCTCTGAAATCATTTTTTCCTCTCCATAAAAGAGCTTGTCAAGAGAGACCCTTCTCCGACCAGCTAATTGTCATTTGCTTCTTTTCCTGTGGTCTGATTTCAGGGAGATCATTGATTTGATTGTCAAGTCACTTCAAGAATAGCAATTTCAGCCTGAAATGCAGAAGTAGAGGAGACATAGCAGAAAGGCATCTGCTCATCTGCAGAAAGACACAGCAGCAAGGCATCCTCAGAGGACCAAGGCTGGGCGGTTCTCCCCATCCTGACCCAGCAAACTCCACTGTGTGTGCATCCATTAGAAAAGCCAGGGCCTATTGGCTGCAGGGTGAATGTTAGAAATAGGCTCTTGCTGTTAAAGTTAAGGCATTTACCTCTTCAGAGGTCTTCTTCAAAACCTCCTGCTATCTTCTTTCCCCAACCACACTGTTTCCCTCTCTCCCATCCCCCCAAAATGGCCTTTCCTTCAGCCGAGGCCTTTGACTCCCCTCCCCCTCATCCCTCCTCTCAACAAGAGATACCCCTGAGGCCACTGTCCTTGGTTGGGAGTGATAAAAAAGGAAAAAAGAAACCTACTATTCCTGTAAAACTTGAGCTAAGAAAAATGACTGAACTGTTAAAAATCACATAACTACCTGATAAGGTGGTCCTAAATTACAAAACATCCAAAACATTGGCATCTGTTCTAATTTACCGGAAACTGGGAGATTATTCATTAAACTTTAAACTAAGCTGTTTCTATGCCTTTTGGAAAGCAAGCATTTACTGCCTGAAATTTAAGATGCTCAACACGTGCATCTCTAGGCCAACCTACATGTGAAAATACAAATTTATGCAAAATTGGGTTGCAATTATTGACTTTGTAGACTGATTCATATTCTAATTTATTTCCCGAGGGTTTGTGATTCCTACAGCAATTAAAAATACAGATTTTATGTACCTGCACAATGAGGCAACATAGCCTATATATAAGCTGATGAACAAGACCATATTAAAATTTCTTATATAGATGAAGCAACATCTTTATTCAAAAAAAAACTATAAATCGCTGATAAGATTATATTTAGGTCTATGTTTAAATGATGGAAATAAAAACTTTCCAGTAACCAATGCTACCAAATCAAATACTTTTATAATTATAAAAGGGAATTTGGCACGATAGTTGAGCTCTTTTCAAGGTGGATTTTTATGCAGATTACAAAATTGTCAGCCCTTCTTTTAATCCCATGAAACACCCATTACCTTCCAGAACATACTGGCTCCCCTGTACTCCCTCCCCACCCCACTCTGGTGAGTGTTTCTGTGTTTCTGTTGTATGTGAGCGCAGGAGTCATAACTACCTGCCAATTTTCAAATCCAGGGGCCCTTTCACACCCACAAGCCCAGTCCTTCTCTCTGAAGCCTTTGTCACTGCTGGGCACCATCCTCCACAAGGGATTCAAGGCTCCTTGCCTTCTCCCTCTCTCATCCTCCCTTTCCTGCATAAGAACAGCTCACCACACCATATTCCCCATAGCCAACTTTGATCTTTTTCTTTCTCCCTGAACATTTCTCCTCCTGTGTGTCCACAGCTTCCACCATTACCAAGCAAGGCTGTAGCTCTGGACCTCTGCCCCAGCTCAGACCATGCTCCTTCTTCCCCTGGGAACACCCGCCCAGCTCTCCCACACTCAGCATAGCCAAAACCATTCATTATGTCCCCAGAAAACTTGAAACTTGTTCTTCCTAGAGATTCCTCACTGTGATTACCGAACCTATCAACTTAATCGGTCTATCATATGTGCAACACACACACACACACCCAAGATAAAGACTTCCCTAAGCAGAGATTGGCAAACGTTTTTCTATAAAAGGCCAGATAGTCCATATGTTAAGCTTTGCAACCACACAGTCTCTCGACATTATATCTTGAAAACAGTATACAAAAAGTAATGAACATAGCTGAGTTCCAGTAACACTTTATAAAAACAGGCAACAGGTCAGATTTGGCCAACGGGCCATAGTTTACTAAGTCATGCCCTAAAATATACCAGTGCTTAACAGTGGTTTATCTGTCAATGTCAGGATTCCAGGTAGTTTTGATCCTCTTCTTTAAAATTGTTCTGTATGTTCCAACTGTGCTCTAATGAACATGTACATAATATTTATAATCAGAAACAGGATTCAAGCTAATGTTGGAAATTAATGGCTGATATCGTGATCAGCTGTACTGATTCAAGTTACTCCTCCATACAGAGAGCCATCCTTGAAAAACCAAAAAACTGTTGCTAAATAGCCAGTAAGTAAACAGTTAATATTTGGCTTGTTTGAAGCTCCAATGGAAAGATTTTTTCTTTCACATCTTTTCTGTAATCAGTGCAGGCACTTGCGTGCACGCGTGCACACACACACACACACAGACACACACACAGTGATTTTCTTGGGGAAGTGGATGAAATTCCTTTTTCCATTACATTTTCCTCAAATGACTTCCTTGTCTCACTGGCAGTATATAAGTCAAAGAAAAATTTTCTATTACTTCTTACAGTACAAACTTAGTGAGAATGGAAAAATGGGCTGAACTGAAATGTTTCTTCTCCTCCCACTTCAGTTTCTTGCACAAAGTGTGATGAAATCCTGCAGACAGGCAGAACTGGGCACACAGTAATACATGAGTTCCGGAGAGTCAGATCCCCACTCCAGCATTCTGCTCACATGTAGACAAAAGGCAATTTACCCTTTCTGTTGGATTTCTTGCTTTCACTTTCAACAAACTGATTCCTGCAATGTCTTGGTTTTCACATAAGAAGTTTACGCAAATCCTTTCCAAAATAATGGGTATTTTCCTTCAGAGAATTAAAATTCCAAAGGGGCTCAGGAGCCAGTTCCTAAGGGCCCCTTGAGGGGCGCCACTCCCTCCTCCTTGCTGCCAACTGTGCATCTGTGTCAGTGCAGAATCTCTCTGAGCCAGATTTCTCTGCTCTGCCAACCTTTCCTGATGGGCTCTGAGCACATCACCTGCAGCAGGTTAGGAAATCCTGAATTTGGCGGAATATCTAGAGCCCACCAACCACATTCAGTGTCACTGAACACTGGCCTGTGCTTTTTTGGACCACCTCATCTTTAATCACAAATGTCTGGTTTATTGCTCTAGATCAAGGTCTCTCAACTTGGGCACCACTGAGTTTCGGGGCCAGAGAAAAATTGTCTTTTATTGGGGGTGGGGGCTGTGCTGTACATTGCAGCGTGTTTAGCAGCATCCCCCAGTTCCACCCTGGCTGCCAGCAGTAGGCCCCCAGTTGTGACAATCAAAAATGTCTTCAGTATTACCAAGTGTTCCCCCACTGAGATCACTAAGTGTGTTGGTCATGCCTACAAACCTGAGGGTATGACAGCTCTTGTATTTAGGAAGTGTATTTCGTAAGGTCTTAGGGAATCAACTGTTTCCCTGGGAGGGGTCAGTACAGCCTGAGCCATCGGCTTCCTTGGGAGTTCACCCAGTGGTAGGTGAGCGCGTGCAGAAACGCTGGGTCATGGTGCACCTGTGAAGATGACCATTCGTCCACCAGAGACTGAACTGGAGTGGCGATGGGGATCTTCACCATCCCTGTCCTCTCACAGTCAACCCCTTGACTCTGATGGTTCAAATTCGTAAGATCCCTGAGGCCAAACCAAGAGTAAACTGTGGTAAATGGGAAACCTGGGGCCAAGGCTGAACTGCTCAGGGTCTGTGAATTGTTTAAGTAGTTGCTAACATTTAAATATTAGAAAAGGTCACTTGAAAATCCAGTCTGGCCACTCTTGCCATGCATTCATACATAGGAACAATGAACTGGAGCTGGGTGGCTGCTGCCCTTCACCTCGGGCATGCCCTTTGCCACAGCCCCCACCCTGCCCTGCAGCCCCCCAAGGCAGGTTCCTCTCCTGCTTCGCTCATTTCCATCGGCTGCCCAGGGACATTGAGGTTGCAGTCCTGGTCTATGGCCTCATTTCACCATTTCTAAACCTGTAATACACATTCTCTTTTGCTCAAATAAGAAAATAAGCAGATTTCCCAGTGGAATTCAAGCTGCAAAAGAAATTTAGAAGAAATATTTG